TATTTTGTTTTCTTCGCAAAACCAGTAAAATTCTCTACCAGTACTAAAACAACTGAGGTAACTCGTACTCGGGCTTCTCTGTTGCTGTCCCTTTTGTCTGGCGATAGCCTGTACTATGGAAGTAATTAACCGGGTACTCTCATTTGGGGTGTTATCGGCCGAGGCCGAAGGCCTTCTCGATCTGCATAATTCTCGTATGATACCTCAACCTCATCCAATAATTCCTAATTGTCATACAAAGTCTATTGTTACAAGTAAGGACTAAATTATCGGTGTGAATTTTGTTCATATTTTTAGGTATTGAGAATTTCCTGAACTTACTTTAGAAAAAAAATGGGTTTTCCCTAGCTTCAACTCAAACGATACCTCCGTCAGTTGTCATGTCACAATATGCCTTAAAAGGACTTTTAGTCCTTCCAGGGTCAATCCAGTACGCCCCGTCGCCATTGGAGATACCTAAGTCCTTGATTTCTTTGCAGGATCGTATCGCTACAACAAAATAGATATTAACATTAGAGATCAACTTTGAAGAATGCGCCTGCAATCGTTTTCAAAGAGACTTAAAATAGTATCAATATACAGGTAATCGGCTTCCCGGATCTTGCTTTATTCATTCAGATGAGCAGTGATTACTGTTGCTGGAAGTAACTTAGAGTTGAGGCTACCAGGGAGGAAAATCATTAAAAATAATAATGCATGTGAACAGATTCCCTGGCTTAAACCTGTACTCTAGGCTAATTTCAGTTCATAGCTAAGAATCCACGACAAATTTGTTTGCCTCAGTCTAATAAATTAAAAGCAGAGAATGCGATAATTACGTGTTCTACTGAGGTATTTACCGTTACACTTCTTGCCATCTCCTTTGTAACCGGGTTTGCAGGTGCAGGTGAAAGACCCTTCAGTGTTCTTACATAACGCATTTCTGTCACAGTTATGGATTTTGCTTGTACACTCGTCGATATCTACATGAAAATCATAAAACTGCATTTATTTTACGTTTACAAGGCAAGTAAACTGATAATTCTTCCTTTACATTCTACTCTTTCAAATCTACGTTACAGATGAACGCGATGGCTTGTGTGGCTATGGTAGTGTTACAAAATTACCTGGACAATTTGTTCAAAAGCCGAATAACGCTATCCGCTAGATAAATCACCATCCAGTAGATAGCGCAGTTAGTTTCACTAATACTTATCCACTGTGTAGTGATTTATCCGAAGCAAAGCGCTATCTAACGTTTGAACAACCGGTGCCAGGGAGAATAAATTCAAGCAATGGAATGAACGCACGTGCTGGATGCATAAACTATCGTTAGGTGATTAAGAACACTTAGGGTGGATTTCGACTGCCGCGTAATATTTATGTGCGTACGCAAGTAAAATGTACGCGCGTAAATATAATAGAGGCAGGCAGGGCCCTGGAGGCAATGTATGAAAGGCCGCGTGTAAAAGTTGAGCGAGGTTCAAGTTTTACGTTTACGCGCAACCTTTGATACATAGCCCTTATTTTATATACGTACTGAAAACTAAAGCGAAATATTGTTTCACTTATGTGCCGAAAAAGACAAGGTAATACCTTCCTTGACATTTCCTCCCGACTTTCCTCTATTCAGACATGTCAGACCCCTTGGGGCTTTTTATTGCCTTCAGTCTGAATTGGGGCGACCTTGAGAGGTCTAAAAGTGAAATTTTCGTTTTCGCGTTTTTTTTTTTTCAAATCAAATCAAACTGTTTCGTTATTACCAGTGAAGTTCTTAAGTAAAAACAAATATATCCCCAAACGGAAGTTCGTAATTGTTTTGATTAAAGGAATCAAAATTCGTGTAAAAGGTTGTTCCACACTGAAAATTAAAAAGACCTGTCTCAGCCCTAGTGTCAATTCAGTCCTGCAGGCCAAAGTCTGATTCAGCCCTTCCTGGAGCCATTTGAACACAATCCAGGCCAAAAAAGCTCAATCAAAAGGCTATTCCACCCCACGTTAGGGCCCATTTCAGCCCTGGGACCAAATCAGCCCTAGCTAATTAATTTGACTGTATTGGCCCTGATTTAAGGGCACCAAATTAGACTCATAACTAGGACTGTATTTTACTTATCGAAACGGCCGTATTTTTAGGGCTAAAACAGATCTGTCTGATTTAGAGTGCACACATTAGTGCAAGTATTCTTTTGCTGCTCAAAATTCCGATTAAATGCCCACTAGGGACTTATCAGAAAGTTTTGACCACAAAAGATAGAGAAAATAATAATAGTTCTGTACATACACTATAAAGCATATTTATTTAGTCTATAATTTAATAAATAAAATCAGAACAGAGGACAACTAAGTCGGTCGATCAGTTTGCGAAGCAAAAGGGCAAAATATGGAAGACATTTAAAGCAAAGTTCAGTACTTACCAACGCATTTGCCGCCATTTCCAGAGTATCCAGCTTTGCAAGTACATTTGTATGAGCCCACGGTATTCTGGCAAGCAGCATTCACATTACATCTGTGATAGTTAGTTGTGCATTCGTCAATTTCTAAAAGAAATCACTGTGTTTCATTCACTCACATTTCTTTTGCTACGTGCTTATTTTCTGAAATGATTCTCAACTTGAATTCATCATAAAACTCTTGAAAAGAAAAAACGAAATTACTTTGAATTTTACCAAACACTGCACACAATGCTTTTATCTCACGTTATGACACCTTAACAACTGTCTAATAAGCTTGGCTGCATGCCCATTTTTACCTTGATATAGTCGTACGAGTTTGAAACATAAACTGAAACAAAGTTAATAACAGTGGAATGTCTATAAAGCCCTACAAGCGCCTTTATTATAATAGTATGTTTTTTTGTTAGAGGTGTTTGGACTCAACCGACGGTGTGAAACGTTCAATAGCATTCTTATCATTTTGATCCTTTTCACCAATAAAAACCTAGCCTGTGTACAGACGCCCCCTCACCTCAAAAAAGGGGGAGGGGGCGTCCGCTGTACACAGGCCGGCTATAAAAACGTCGCATTCATTTATTGTGAAAAAAAAAGAAAAAATCTAAATCTTAAACTTTGATGCATTCTCAACCAATCTCCTCTACTAACTGACTGAAAGATGATACTACATTAATGTGCCCTTACATTAGATGGCTTTTTTGTTGTTTTGGTTACATTCCTGGCATAAAATATTGAAGTGAGCCACAACCCTTTACAGAACATAAGATTACCCCAGGTGCCAACTAACAGATCATTTAATGTAAGTTGTAAAACGGACCTGATGACCGCTTTTACCTCGAACACAAGTATAGTTATAGCGGTTATCGCAGGAAACGTCGTTCCAAGTGTAGCCATCATTGGCACCCAGAGTGTGAACACAATCTTCGTTTTTCCTGTTGTTTGGTTGTTGCGGAGCCCAGAACCGAAAAAAGGTTATTTCCTTGTTGGTCCAGACAAATGATCCCTCAACGCTTCGGTCATTAAGTCCAATCCATGATCGCTCTCCATTATGACGGTGCTGAATGTAGACATTTCCTTCTTGGTTGTGCACTGTTACCAGATACGAGTTCATTGCTGAACAGTTGGACACAGCAGTCACCCAAGGTGCGCATACAGAGCTTGTTAAATAGCAGTATCCATTGAAGTAATCCCATCCCGATGGAGAGATGTCTGCGCGTATACAAAGTAGGAATTAGTGAACTGCAAAATGATATTGCTTAAAATGTATGGCTTTAGGAGCAGTTACATACTTCGGGCATTTTTGTTATTTCCGGTTTTGCGATAAAAAAGGAAATGGAAAAGCAGAAGCTTTTTGTTCAGGACAAAATTAATAAATGCAATACATAAGAGAAAAACAACTGCAAGTATTAATATATAGATTTAGCCAGGGCTAGAAGCGAAACTCTGGTTAATAATAGGTGGTTTTCACGTTACGTCATCGCCGCCATGCTGGTGGACGGTAAACAAAAGATCGCTCATTAGCTCGCTTTGTTTGTCCACCAGCATTTGTTCATTTCACCATTGTTATTTGTGTCTCCCGAGATTGCATGAAAGCCACCTATACTTGTAAACAAAAAAAATTAAATGGTGTAATATGTTAAACGGGACAGCAATGAATATGGCATCAAGATCAAAAGATCTAATTGGCAAAAAAAATAAAAAAAAAAAATTGCACGTGCAGCAGACTCTTTTTTTCTAATTAGCAAAAACGAACAAATTTGCACGTGCAGCACACTTTTTGTCTTTGTTTGCAGTTGTTTTGCACAACTACAACGCTGTTTTGTAGGACTAAAACGTCAAACTTACTAGTTACACATTATTTTTGTGGAGGAATGGTCGTATGTGCTTACCCAATATTTTGTCTCCTGTGTTCATGTTCGCTTTTATTTTTCACTGCCGCTCATTTTCACCTTGCTGGCCGCTAGCATTTCTCATTGTCTCACAGCCGCTTTGAATTTTCATGTTTTCTTCCTACAAAATTCGTCTCTTTTGTTTTCAATTACTCGCTCTAGCTCTTTCTCTGTTATCCACGTGAGTGTAAACATCAAATATAACGTCGAAAAAAAAACGACTTTGTTGTTGTTTTTTCTTTCTAAAAGTCCGGGCGGCCAGGCGATTTCTTTCCAAATACAACTTTGAGTTGCATTTGGGTTGCCATACCTGTTGATTGAATTATTTTACATTGGTATGCCTTTGGTGCGGACGGACGGTGGGGCGGGAAGGCGGTCTGAGTACGGTCACGTGATTACAAAATTTTCTTGGATGGGTAGTTTATCTCATTTTTTTACCCATGGTGCTCCGCTGCGTGCGATTCGCGCGCGAGAGCTCCGCTATAAAGCACTCCATTATACACATTAATAGGTATTTGGAAAAAGGGATGAACGTTGTTTTTTATCATCACCCGAATACAATTTTTATTATTTCCTCCAGTTTTTGTGCATTCCTTTTGTGTGTTGCTTGTATTCATTTTTTTTTTATTCAGAGACTTGTAAGTACTGAAGTTTATTAGTTTTGTAGCAGTAGAGCTCTTACCTGACAAAACTGTGTACGTTACTGACAATGGGTCATATTTTGCTTCATATGATTCTTTGACACAAGCACGAAAGCCTGTCTTGTTGATGTACTGCAAGAAAGGGATGTTTATCAGCTCATTAAGTAAATACACAGACGGCGGACGGCGTATTTTCTCCCTTGCTAGCAGGAAAAAAACTATAGAACAGTTCAGGTAGGTCTTGACCAGAAGACTTTCCATATTTCTCAGTTTGACGCATATTAAGAAGTGATCAACACTGTTCAACAAGTTTGCACGACAGGGCTTCAAAGGGAAGAGGAAAGAGGACAATTGAGTGCGCGTTATTACATGTCAACAACTTAAACCTCTCATGCGATAATTGCTGTAACTGCTGTCAAACTTCAAATGTTTGGAGGCGAAATATGTCGCGTTCACGGGAAAGTAGACCGCGCGCGTCACGGAAACAGCAGATAAAAATAACCTTCATCGCACGCGTGGGAACTTTCAATAGATTTCAAATAATCATCATGGGGCACAGGGATTCGCTCTCTTAGCTCATTCTCTCTTGCTTAACACCAATTTTAGTTTGCTCATTGCTTTTTGTTTAACAACATTTGCTTACCTTCTGCTATACAGCTACACAACTTTTTTTTAAACACAGTTTTAACGACTTTCCATAATTCATGGCCATTTTACTAGCTAAGGGTTATGCCTGATCGTTAGTTAAACATAAAATTTAACTTTTGTGCTGTTTTTCGCACGATCTGTATTTTATAAGCTGTTATTCTCAGTAGAACGCATTCTGTATTGTAAAATAGACAGTGTTAGTTACAGTCATTCGTATTTTGAAATTCATAAGGTTTTTAAACATGCACACAACACATGTAAGTGTGGTTGCAAGTGGTATGCTACACAAATTCACAAAATATATTAAAAAGTAGATAAATAAACAAATAAAAACATACCTCTACCCACTCAGCTATGCTGTTATGAATTGGACTCTGACTTCCATTTTTGGTGGAATGATTGGCAGAAACAAACACATGTGGAGTTGAGTTATAAACTTTAGTAAAAGAAGCGTCCTGTCAAAAGAAGTTACATAATTGTAAAAATTCAGTCTCTGACATTTATATAAAGGTAAAGACTTGTTCCGCATTAGGGCATTTATAATCTATATTTCATTTTCATTTTAAATATTCACTGAAATATGACAGGCAGCCTGCTAAACTGATTAAATGCAACTACCATCACTACAGACATGATAGGGGAACCGTTTTCTTTTGCTCTCTGATAGTAAATTTATTCAATAAAATTAACTGCACTGTGACGGGAATTGAAACCAATAAGACTAATGAAAGGACTGGAATACTGACCTTGCAGAAGGCATTATAGTGACTCTGCGCGGGAGGTTTATCATTCGAAAAGTAAATCGAATTGTGTTCTGAGAAGGGAGGCTCGTCAAGATATGAAAACGCTAACCAATTCTGAAATAAAGTAAATAAATAAATAAATAACAATAAAAAGAAAGAATTCTATTTCATTCTCACGTCCTAACTACCAAAAGATTGTGTCAACGTCGAAAATAAGATGGTAATCTCTCAACAAGGTTTATATAAAACAGCCACCGACATATTAGGTTACAAGAAAGCAATAACATGGTTGGGTTGACAATGCCGGATGAAGAGGAAACAGATGGAGGGAAATATATTTTCAAGCAAAAAATCGTGCATCTCTTGCTGGACCAACTGCTGGAAGCGTAAAAAAGCGAAAAGATGAGATGGAGAAAGATACCAGTCTGCTGCACTTAGTTTCCAAAGAAAAACGCTGTTCGTTCGATTCCATGAGATTGGCGTTACTTACAACAACAACGTCTTGGTGTGATCCAGCGTAGTTTTGAAATTCTCTCAAGCAAACTTTACAGGATGATTGTGTGACATCTTCAATCCATACGCTTGCTGCGTCACGTTTTAATCCTGGATTGTAATGCTTGGCAGTCGCAAATACCGACGGCATCACAGAGAATTTTCCCTGAAAAATAAATCAGGAATCAATTTCGTATTTATTGCAAAAAGGAACCCATGACATTTGTGATATGCTGGAAATTGGTAAAAGAATAATTTGTACTACCATGACGTTGTTCGACTAATGGTCATAAGTGTACGGCTGCACCATTACGAGAAATCACTGCTGATGCTTATTAAAAACGATCTGTTATTAACTGAGTGACCTCAGTAGAAGTGAGGCGTTTCAAAAGATATGATCTTGAAAAAAATGGGAAGGACAAGAAAACCCAACAAAGGCCACTCACTGTAGGAAACATGACAGTCGCACAAGTCGTACCAGTCCACCACTGTGGCATGCGCACTTCACCAGTCACGCCACCCACTGGAGCACCTTGGTACGCCATCCAATCAACTGTCACGTTAGCATAAGACTTTCGTTCGTTATATCCTGCCGCCATCACACAAGCAGTGAATCCGTCGTTATCTACATTTTCAACCCACGATACTACCGCGTCATGGACATACGATTTGTCACTGGTATCCATATGATTGACAGTTATCTGCACTTGAATGGGTTTGTCAGGGTAAAACACAAACGGTTTGAAATGAATGGCATGACAGTGAGAGTAGCCCAAGGATGAAATATGTGGCATGTGACGACGACCACGCTGAAAAGGAAATCCTAGAAAACACATTTCAAGATGAACTATAGATTAGTATGACAAGCATGCGGAGCAAAGGGCATTTAAAAATGCTAACATAGCAGTAAATGAGTGCTTCTTAGAAAGAGGGTTGTTACTCTCTACCATAGAAGTGCTGGGAAAAGTTCACAGCAGACAATGTGTCGCTTGTCACTGCATTAGGTCAATAGCATGGCAAGCAGTTATGGAGAGATTAGAATTACACGGTGGCAACTGGTCAAGCCTTTTAGCGCTAAAGGAAAGGAAAGTGAACATTTACCGTAGCTACTACTTCTCGCAGAGAAAAGGTTCAGTTCCAATTATGCTTAAAAAAATATAACTCTAGGAAAGGACGTTATCCAGATATGTTAGGCAGAGCTACGTCCGGGTACGAAATGCATACGACTACTACTACTACTACTATACTACTAATCTCAGAGAGAAGAATCAGTTTTAAATTTGCTTCAGTGATACATATATAAAAAAAAACAGCAGATATTTTCGTTGAGTATTGACTGAAAATGCTTAAAACAGAAGTGTATCAGCACTCTTTCTGACCAGTATTCTTATTAGCATTGCCCCTGTCAAACGTTTTAGCAAAATTACGTAAAATTCTGTACTTCCATAAAGTCACGCATCTATCGCCGTTTTCCCTCCAGATTACATGGGTAAGTAAATATCTGATTCAAAAAATTCGCTAAGATACTGAAATCTAATAAAAACAAAAATCACTTTTTAACAGATTCAAAAACAAGTGTACTAACCTTCACAGCTGCCACGATGTTGCACGGTAAAGTTTAGTCGATGTAAACAAACTTCTCTTTCAAACAAACATCTGTTGTCGTACGTAGTGCCATTTGATGAGCAAACGGGTTCTTTGTAAGATGGGCAGCTATCCACACATACACAGCGTGCATCATGGGGTCCAAACGCCTTACAGAAGCTGTGATAATAACACGTAACGTTTATGCAGGGATCCAGGTCTGAAGATAATTAGGCAAATAACAACAGATTAGATTTAAAGTGCCCATACCTTAAAAATTTTTTTTTTAGAATTGAAAATGCACATTACTATGAGAAAGTGCGCGAAAAAAAAAATTGCTTTGAACACAATGTTATTAAAGAGAATTTTTTGACACGTTCAAATTTACCGCCATTTTGGCACACCATTTGTGCAAGTCTTCACTCGGATCCCTTTCAGAAAAAAAGGGGCTCTGACGTAGATTAAGAAACTATAACGTAAATTAAGGGACACGTGACTTTAGATGCAAGAAAACAAGTATAGACTCTGCAAAAATTTCCTTTAATTACAAACTGAAACTGCTTTAAGATGCCAATAAGGTGCATTGCAGTTAACAACACTGGCGACTCTAAGAAAAGGATAAGAATGCATATGATCTCGTTTTTCAGTTCCTGAATTTTTGTCTCATGACACCACATATGAGCCTATTAATTTCGTGATCAGGAGCACCAGTGTGCCAAAGAAATTTAGTCTTAATAGTTTTCAAAAAAATTCTCATTTTCTTGAATACACAAATTTATTGCGACGAAATTATATTAGTAACATGTTCTTTCAGTCAACCAAATCTACAATCCCCCAAAATAGAGACAACAAAAAATAGCATTAATTAGAAAAAAAAAAAAGCTCTCCATCAAACAACTTCAAAAGATTCATGTCATAAAATGTACTTGATACACTGCAGCATACAGCCTTCACCAAGGTTTTGATAGATTGTTTACGTACCTCCAATCACCAGGTAATCCAGTTGTACGATGTCCTTATAATTGGCGTTATTGCTGTATCTTCTCATACACACCTCGGTTTCGTTTGTAAAGGTATGCTAGATACAATCATAAGAATTATCAGATTATCAATCATTAAGCATCATCAGGTATTTTCTTACCATAACTACTATGTCACTAGGTACACCAAGGTCGTTTAGAAAGCGAAACCGTGGCGTGCACAGGTTAGTTGGAAAAATTCGGAAAAAGCAAAACAAAAAAACTTTTTTGGACTCCTTAAACGACATGAAAAATTGAAACAGAGACAATTCTAAAAGTAAGTTAGAAGGGAAAAGATAAGAAGGCAGCGTAAGGACGCAACGACTAAGAAAAATGGCTCCAAGTTTCATATTTGTTACCTGAATCCACGCAGTAACTGCGTTACAAGTTGCGGAAGCCGAGAAACGAGAGTTGTTGTTATGGTAACTGAGTCTTGGTGAAACCATTACTACCGGAGGGGCATAGAAAGCATCAGTGAACTTTATTATCTAAAAAAACAAGAAAAGAATCAGCGTTCTTAAGTTTTTCTACACATATGCGGTATATGATATATCTTGTTTAAATAGTTAACGATAACAACATCAGAGCTCCATGAACTTATGAAAGACTTTCTATTTATGAATATAAGTGACTGAGAAACCAAAACAGTATATATAGTTCATTAGTTACTTTACCTGACAGACAGCGTTGTTTTGTTGCTTGTTTAGTGGTGAGTTATTCTTTGTTGTTACAAGGCCATTGATCAAGGTAAAATTCAGCGTCATCAGCTTCACAAATGCTATCCAGTCCTGAAGGACAAGTGAAAAAGTATTAACAATGTTATCAATATATTCTTTCTCAAGTCAAGGTTGTTTCTAAGAGAACGGAGCCCATTGCTCTGAACCTGTGTAAATCACAGGGTATCCAACATAGGATCTCTATGATAAAAGCTACGATTTCCTAGTAGGCAAAGAGCAAAGGTAGAGCTCAGGGGCAACTGGGTTCTGCTAAAGCACAGCGCCTGTAAGTTGCAGCAAGGGAGGAACCGCTTGGTTGTCGTGTGAGTCTACTTTCAAACATGTAACAGGTAACAAAAGGAATTCACTTACCACCTTGATGTTTTTATGCAGACCATCAAAAATCTTAGTTTCCCTGAGGCAAACCTTAAAACTATCTCTGCGTACATCCTCTACCCACAAGGCCAAGGCGTCCTGAGGTCTCTTGAGAATTTGGTGACGAGCTGTTACGTAGATGCTCGGAGGAATTGAGAAACGCTGAAAAAGTAAAAGGGAAAAAAAAAAATAATTAATTACATTTCTTTTTCAAACAAACAAGGGTATGATATAAAACGATGGAAGAGTGATAGAAAAAATCATTTTGAACTTGAAAGAAGCAAATTGGATGGAATTTCCTAGTGCAGATGATAAACAACTAAGAACAGTTTTACGAATTAAAAACAGAATTTGCAAATCAGCAAATAAAACGATAGTCATGAACCTGGCAACGTAGATACAAAAGGAATCGAAATATAGACTTTCTCACTAAATTTTTTAGAGCAAAAATTAGCAAAAATATGAAGATTGTTAAAGCTTTTTAAAGATGTATTAATGTAAATAAAAAAATTGAAATGATCATGAAAAGTGGAGGACAGATTGCAAGATAACTTTGATGGAAGAAAATAGAGGTAGCAATATATGTAAGATCTTGGTAAACATATAAAGAATCGTATTTTATAATGCAACAATGTTATATGGCATGACTTAAAGATATAAGGAAGAAGTCAAATGGAAAGTCCGCAGCTCCTACGAGCTAAATAAAGAAAGAGGAAGTTAAAGCCACTCAGTCAAGCAAAGCTCAAAAAATAACGTAGTGAAATCTTGTGTCTAGGTTTGAGCAAACAGAAATACCTAAATCAGTAAGAACTATTAACTTAACGAAAACGCAAGGGGAAACAGCGGTAACCTTTTCAAAGGCGATCCTTTTACACTTTTCTCCAGTAGTCCAAGAATCCAACGAGACGGTGTCTAGTTGAGCGCCAACAGGAACAGATTGCAGCGCCAACCAGTTCACTTTCGTAGTCCCACTAGAACCATCTCCGTACTCTAAAACACAAACTGTAAATTCTTTATTATCCACAGATTCCACCCAAATAGCCGCGCCATCTCCACCACTATAATTCTTTGTTGTGTGGCTTTTGGAAACGAAAACTTTCACATCCTGCCTGCCATTGAAAGGCTTCTCAAAGGAAACCTTTTCACACGCAAACAGACCAGGAGTAGTAATGGTGAAATTGCATATTCCAGTTTTGATACTTAGCGCTGGGAAATACAAAAAAGTAAAAATAATAAAAATAAGTTGCAAAACCGAAATACAGAGATGAATGATCTCTTTTATACCTTCAACGTCTTGGTAAGTAAGTGAACCTATGAAGAAGAAAGCCAACAACCACTGTACACGGACTTCTTGCACGGTAAACATCTTGCTTCAAATGGAGAAAAACCCACTCGGTTGAACATTATACCTCTTAGCAATACGTGACAATGTGGTCCAACTTGTTTTTACGTGAGTAGATGTCATTTGCTTTGTTTGTGGGGGTAGGGGGTAAAGATCTTTGAGATAATTGATTGTAAGATTTATGCGGAAACTGAGAACTGAAACTTCTAATTACAGTCTGCGGCTTGCGACCATTAAAACTGACTGACATTTTTATCCTCTTGCACCCGAATTGTATCATACCTTCATCCGTAGACTTGTATTTCTGTCGTGGAGTGAGGTAGAATACATTGTTTTCTAAAGTCTCCCACTAACTCTTCCAAATTCAACTCAGGGGAAAAAGTCTCCTGAGAGAAAGTATTTTGCGTTAGGAAAATTTCGTCGTCACTATCCATTGCCGCTCTCACAAGTGTACTGGCCCCCCAAAAAATACCAAGACAAAAATAAAAAAAACACAAAAGGTTTGAAATTTGATTGTTGTCGGCTTAGAAAACAAGCAATGCGCTATTGTTCTCCGTTTCTCACCTAAGTGAGAACAAGTGGTTTGAACAAATTATGACCCGTGAAACGCCCTTTCTCGATGCTGTGTGAAAACCTTTACAATACTTACAATGAAATACGTCATTGTCTGCGGTCGGATCAAAAAATGACAAACAAACAGATGTCAAAAACAAGTGGCCAATTATTGCCCTGTGAAAGACGACCTTTATGTAACCTATACCTCATGAATAATATCATGAAATAAGTTAGATAAACCCCTCGAAGGTTCCATCTTGCCTCAGTGAGGTGAAGCTTGTTACATATCATATAGCGAAGGATTTACGTCACCCCGGCCAGTTTACAGAGCAAGAAATGAAGCAAGAGATATTCATTGAAAACATTTGCGATTTAGTTATGTGGCATTAACAAGTTGTTAAGATTTGCATTTCAATTTTCAGTTTATCGAGTCCGCACACTTTTTTATTCCCTTGTATGTATATTTAGGTTGCTTATAATTTCTGAATATTTGCCTAAAATTAAAATTTTCCTGGCTTTTATTAGAAGCAACGCTTTCGTCGAGAAATTAACCAAAGTATTAAATGACAAACACTTTCCTCTTACTTTTGAATGATTGATATTGATACGCTGAATTTCATTTACCCATTACAGACCGAGACAATAATACTGAGGTCCGAAAATTGTAATCAGGATACTTGATTAAAATTTAGCTCGCGTAAGACCACGCAACGATCTTTAGAATTCTGCTAAGCCAGCGTGTTATACTCCTCAACGCCGAAAAAAAGAAAGAAATTTCAAGGACTCGGTACAGTATGGCCTCTAGTCGCATTTGAACCTTGCTGGTAAAAACCTTTAATGTTTAGACTCAGAGTGGTCCTCTAAATTGTCCAACCTCGACTTAATTTAATGTTTCGCTATAAAGTTTGCGATTCAAGGGAATTATCCTCTTTCGCCGTATTTCTCCTGCATAGCGACCTCAACATAGGTTTGTTACCCCATGTTATCTGAAGACGAACGACTTCCGCGAGACAAAGGTAAATAACTATTCTCGTTCCAACGCGTTGTCTATCTCAGAAACCATGAAAGGGTCCAATGATTTTGTTTTTTTCGTTTTTTTAAAAAAAAGGGGGAAATATTGATACAGATAACCATGGGTTACAAAAGGTACATTCAAAATCTTAGCGTTATTCTTTTCAGTGGTAAATCCAAGATATGCCGGAGTTAATTTCTCCTTTTTTACAGATGTTTATTTTGCATAATGCAACATGGCAAATTATGTAAGAATCGCTGCCTAAACATTTGTTAAATTTTTGTTAAAAGATAATGGGTGTAATCTAATTTCCGTTCTTTTTTTCTATTGCAATATTATTATGACTTACACTTCCACTTTTAGGCTAAAAAAAAAAAATGGTTATTTGCAGATTAGTGATAATTTTAACCCGATGTATTTATATATTTGCGTGACATACAGGACATTTGGCTAGACCGTGAATATATACTACCAGTATGAAAAGTGAAAATATGGAAAAAAACACTGCAAAAAAAACGTCCTTGATCTATGAGCGCTTTACATTAGGTATAAATGTCGTTCATTTCTATCGCCAATACAACTAATATAAGCAGTGAAAACCACAGTTATACGGTTGGTTGTCCCTTGAGATACCACTCACCTCATGATTACTTCCTGTATCTCTGTTTTGAACTTTGTAATAAAACGAAGAATAACCTTCGTCTTAACTGATACCCTGAAAAATTAACTTGGTCAGAACTAATTTCGGACGTAGTGCAGTCATTTCATCAAGCAGTCGAGAGTATACAAAACGTCACGGTGAACTCAACCTGTAATATGCTCATTTTATACATTGCATTGAAATCGAACATTTGTTTAGTCCCGAAAGAAAATTCAAATTTAGGGTATTTTCACTATATCAATTCAACGTGCTATTTGCTCATCGGCTTTTTTTTTCTCGAAGTAGGTGTCCGTCTAGATTCCACAACGTTTGAGTCATTCTACTCCGGTAAAAGATTGACAGTCTTTGGGATTTCAAATATAAGCTACCAAACTGCAAAACAACTATAGAAAGGATATTTTTTTACAATAACTGAATTACATCTCGCACGCTGTTTGGCTAATTTTAATTATCATTAAGAGGACAAACACATAAAATTTTAATTTAATAATGCAAGACGCAGTCATTTGCCGAACGAATGCCGAACTTCGGTGTTTTTGCTTAGGGGCCGACCATTTAACTCTTGAGGGGTGGGGTGGGTGATTTCTGGTCATCAAGAATTTTTTTTTCTAGCAATCTGGTGGGTAGGATATTTTTTTCCCATTATTTCCCATAAGCTTTCTATTACATTTGTGCTGCATGCAATTTTTTTCTTCCGACAAGCGCTTGCAGGAAATTTTTTTTCAAAATCGCCCACTAGTTTAGTTTCGTAGAAGATTTACTTTCTGTTTTCTACGGTGGCCCGTAAGGGACATTGCAATCTTTTTTTTTTCCTTTATAAGTTATCGCGCGATAATTCAAATTTATCGCACGATAAGTTAAAATCATCGCGCGATAAAATGAGCAGTTATCGCGCGATAAATGAGAAAATTTAAAAATTATCGCGCGATAATTAGTCAGTTTATAGCAGCAGTCATGAACAAAACTGACAAAAAAAAGAGAGGGTCAAATGCAAATCGGCGACAAACATAACTACAGACCTCTCTCTCAACCCATGGTGAAAGAAACGCACAGCAAGGTCTTGCGCCTAATCACGGATCTTCACCGTGGAAATCATATTGATGACATGACAAGAAAATGGCTATCTCAAACACCTAATCTCAAACACCTAATCCACAATTCTAAGCAGAACCGTTTTTAAACCTACAGTTTGGAAACGCTACATTGACGATATCTTTTCCCTGTAGGACATAAGTAAACCAGACATCGAAACGCGAAGCGTACATCGAACAAGCAAACTTACATCACCCAACTATCAAATTCACGGCCGAAATATCTGACACTGAGACTGTGTTTTTAGACACGGTTGTATACAAAGGCACAAGATTCAAGGAAAAATCTATCCTTGACGTAAAGACACATTTTAAAAGAACGGAAACCTTCCAGTACACACATTTCACCTCTTGTCACCCGCAGAGTGTTAAAAAACGATTTGTCAAAGGAGAGGCCTTGAGAATCCTACGAACAAACTCCTCAAAAACTACTTTTGAGGAAAATATTTCAAATTTCAAAAAACGCTTGATTGACAGAGGCTACCCACAAACTATGATAAAAAACCTTCTATCAGATATAAAGTTCACAGAGAGGGAGTCTGCTCTCATGAAACACAACAACAAAGAGGAAAAAGAAATATTGCCTTTCGTGACACAGTACCAGCCCTCAGTGTCTACTTTAAAAGAAGTTTTACTGAAAAAATGGAATCTTACACAAAACCAACCGTTACTTCGCCAAATTTTTAAAGTACCAAGAAGAAAGGAAAATCCCTAAAGGACATGCTCGTTAGAGCTAAAATATAAAAGGTTTACACAAGGTTTCATGCCGGTATAGATGTGCACGGTCATTGCACGGTCATTGCACGCGTGCTGAACAAGAATGCTGTATAATGACAGACTAGAAACAATAGACAACTCCCAAAGCACAAACTCAGCCAAAAAGCTAAAAATCTTCAATGTTTACTCAAGTTTGGGCTTATAGAAGATAATGTCACAGTTTTTCAATGACCATGAAATTCAGAGTCCGGGTAGTTAGTTAATCAGTCAATTGTGGCCCTGAAAAAATTGGAAGGAAAAAAAACTACGAATTTTTAAGAAAATGCCTTTTTCGTGAGATTGACTCTTAAACGCTGACAAACGTCAACAAATTGCGAAACCTATAATTTCTATATGTTTGCTTTGCTCGAAATCGCGCGCATTTACAAGGCCCTAAATTGTTTTGCGGACTTGCAAGGACCCATCTGTTATAACGATGCCCAAAATACAGAGATGAATCTCATAGTTTATTAGATATAATCCGTGTAAAGTTTGCTTATCATTTTCGCATAAATTATGACCTAAATTTGGAAACCGCTGAATTTCTTGAATTGGGTCTTTGCGATTTTGGTGAAACTCTGTTCAGCGCAAGGCACTAATGCGCACTATGTGTAGCCGACAGATTTTCACGAAAAAATGCCGGCAACAGCAGATTTTCGACTCAGACCTCAAAGGGGCGTGGCATTATAACCACGTGACATTTACTCCGATCGCCAAAACTTTTATGTTATATTGTAAATTGATCTATATGTTATCCATTCTATGTGTTAGACTTACGATAAAAGTACAG